ACCCCCCCCCCCCCCCCACCCCACCACCAAATTAGCAAGTGACAATGATCCAAACAATTACCAATGGATAAATTAATCCTCCCTCTTCCCCCTTCTCATTATACAATAAGCGGTTTCAATTGACTGTCACAATGGTGAAAAATTACCACAGTTTCCATTTCATTCCAACTTTAATAACATATGTGTGTAGATGCCTGGTGGACAGTAAGAACAGCATTCTGATGAAGTTCCACACCAGTGTCAACAAGATGACTTTGTGTTGCAGCTTTTCTGTTTAGAAACATGGTTTCTTTGCCACAGCCCAAAAAGGTAAAACATGACACATATTTATAAGACATTTGAATGAATTACTGGTTTGTTTGACCTCTTTAAAAACTCCTCTCTTCCCTTTGTAGACTGTTTATGCATTGTGAGCTGGACTTTGGACCACAGACTCGTAGACCAAGTGCCAAGTCATGCATGTATAACACAAAAACCAAAAAGTGAGTTTTCAAGCACACAAAGAGCACAAATGTACTCCCAAAATGTCTGCTCTAATGATTAGATTCCCCTTGCATACTCTATTAAACAGTTTGTAGTTTTCTTTTTAAAGTTTTAAATTCATCTACCCAAGTCTGAGAGTAGTAATTGTAGATTTGTGTGCTGTAGGTGGACTGAGCTATATGGTGATTCCACAGTCTGCAACTGTTGTGCATCTACATGTCTTGCTCCTCCAGTTGCATTTGGTTTGTACAAATGGATTAACTTCCTAAATGAAATTAAGTTTGACTTGGGCCTACCCAGATTCTTTTCCTTGCTGACCAAGTTTTTCAGTTTTCATCAGGTAAGACAATGATCACCAGTGAGTCTTGGTATTTGAAGATGGGCCCAGAAACCTCATCACCTCTTTCACCAGAAGAGTCCATGCCTGAATTTTCTTTAGCTGGCCATGATGACTGAGTTGTTCTGGGAATCAGATGATGATTACTAGGAGGATGTCTTTTACTGATGACGGTTGTCTTAAGGACTAAAAGTGCCAACTATGTAGTTATACCTTGTGAAGTTAATATGATAAACTGAATTCACAAATTCTTTCGTCTCTTTACATTTGTCACCAAAAGAGTAGATGCATTATGAAATAATGAACACCTGAGCAAAAGTACATTTAAGCATTTCCGGCACAGTATCTCAAACATTTTTTTATTATTTTTTTCTTATAAAATGTTTCTCATTGATCCATATTCATATATCAGCACTGGCATGTTTCTAATCATCTCCAGTAAGTGTCTATTTGTTTTTAAGTACATCTCTTCATTTGACAAGGGCAGAAACAAGTTAACAGGTTTTCCCACTCTGAACTCTTCTGGTAATCCAATCTCACTAGGAATTAGAGGATTCCCAACCAGAGCATGGTTTAGTGATTTAGCTTTGAGTTTCTGCTGTAAAAAAGTCAGCAGGTCATTATGTCTGCAAGCCATCTGCTCAGGGTCCCAAGATAAGGTTTTGTTGACCAGAAGATGTAACACTGCGTTCTTCAAGTGGTAGTTTGTTAGCCCACATGGTCCAGTCAGGCCAGTCTGGTATTTGTGTAGGAAGGAAAGGATCTGTAGGCATTGAATATGGCATGCATTGTATGGAAGCGTTTTGGTTATGTGTTGAAGAAGGGCGTTTTCGTAGCGTGTAAAACATACAGGCCAATGGGTGTCCGAGAATATGGCAGAGGAAGAATACGGGATCAGATGTACCTCAGAGTCTTTAAATCTGACCACAGGTGTGAGATTGAACAGAATGACCCGACCTGACCTGAAACGAACTTTGAGACTTCCAGGGTTTTCTCTATTCTGGAATAGTAGGTCAAATTCATACTTGTGGCTGATCTCATCCCATGCTTTCCTAACGGCTGTCTTAAACCACTTCACAACATGCGTTTTAGCAAGATATGAGCTATTTTCTTGGCATAGAAAGTCATTAATGTACTTTTCAGTCACATGATCTTCTTTTTTATCTGGATGTAGAAGACACAACGTATCGTCATCATCTAGGTTGGAATTGCTGCAAGGGCAGATGGTTGAACTGGCACCGCCTTTGACCATCTTGACTCTGCAACAGTACTGGATGGTTGAAGAACCTCTACTTTCTTTCAAAAGCTCAAACTCGAAGCTATACGGCTTTGGAGGGATGACGGGTACATGTATGTCGCACACAATGCTTTTTCTTGTAGCCCATTGCTCGTATAAGCTCCCAACACCAATAAAGTCCTCAATCTCCATGTCTGAACCTGTAGTCCTCACAGCTTCCAGCAGGTCATTCACAAAACCCTCTACAAACTCACAAGTTTGCCAACTGTGACTAGGTGGAACCAGGATACACTGGTTATGGAAGCTAATTAAGGTCTTGGAATCAAGATCTGAAACTTGGGACATGTTCAGGCATCTCAGCATCTTACTTTGCAGCTTGGAACCCTTTCTGAGGAATTTTTTTAAAATACGAAAAAATGAAATCAAGGAGAGTGTCTTCCAAAGGTACCAACTGTAGGTGTCCTCTTGGTCACTAGATTGTTTCTCTTGAGTTATCGTTGTCAACCTTTGACTTGAAGTTGGTATTTTTTGGTCAATGAATAATCCCTGATCAACTTGATGTTCGTGATGGGTATCAGTCCAGCCAGCTTGTGGCTTTTCCGGGTGTGCCGCCTCCCCCTGAGAGACATTCTGTTCCACAGTGGGCCCTGACTGGTCCACGTTGACATGCTCATGTGTTAGGCCTTCCTTTAACATATGCAATGTCTGTTTGTCTGTGTCAATAGCCAATATTTTCTGGTCATCTGGTGCAAATGCCTTTTGGTGGAAGTCATTTTGCTCTCCCACTGGGGACATTTGCTCCTCGTGCAACACTGTGGTCTTGACATTTGGCGTAATTTGTTGAACATCTGATGTGTCCCCCTCTCCTCTCGGCACCCTGCAATGACTTTGTGACTCTTCCTGATTTGAATGTGGCAGCTCCATGGCAACATTGTGCTCCCCATGTTCTAGCTTTGCCCCCTCCTCCAATAGAAAGTGCTCATGGTCTTGCATGCTCACCATGATGTCGTCATCTTGGTCGTGAAAGACATTGTGATCCTTTGAGAGGAGCAGACTGACGACCACGACAAACACCTTTAGTAATGTGTCCTCCATCCTATGAGTGAAAAAAAGTTACTTCCTGCACACAAAGCTGTTTATTCTCTTTGAAAATATTAATAAACAACATCATTAGCAATAAAAAATGAAGTATTGAATCGCTTTTGAAATAATAATAATAATAATAATATTACTGCTTTAAAGTTCCGGTAGCACTAGTGTCCATCATTCTGAAATATTATTTCATTTACATCATCCACTATTGCTTAATGGATATTTTTTTATGTGATTAAACAACTTACCTTTCAGAACCCCAACTTTAAGCACAAAAAATCGGAGTCTCTCAGTGTAATGCCAAAAAGATAAGTTGGCTGAAAATGTGTTTTTATAGCTCCGTTTGGTTTTTTGCTTCTCACACAGGATGTACTCTGTCAGAGTTTGAGTTTGACAGCACACTTCCTGAACACTGTGCTGTCATACAACCCTTCCTCTTTTTTTAAATAGTACACTGGTAACACCTCTACATACAATGTTATATGCAAGTTTGTCTGATTGCTGTGTATGGACCAAAAGAAAAAATGTAAATCACTCAGTAATCAAAATAAACCCATTAGTGGCGCATTTCAAACTATTAATTCCAGAATTTTTCAAATTAACTAATATACTCAAATATACTCCAAGATATATTATCCTTTTTTATTAAAAATACAATTCTGTTCTTTTGTAAGAACAAAGTTGTTCAGAAGCCTCAATAGTCTCTGCCAGCTGAGGTTGATGCCACAGCAATGAAGCATGTGGACTCTTTGAAGTTAAAAACTGATGTTAAATTTGATTTGCTTTAATGGAGCTCGTGTCCACTTACCTTGTTAAGACACAAGTCTTTGATCACTCAAATAATTGCAATCCTTTAGCTGTCATGTTTAAAAAAATAAAATAAATAAAAATTGGGTTTAATTTTGTGCTGTTAATGGTGTTATGATGTTTTTGAATGAATCTTTTAAGTAAATCATTTAAAGATTCACTCATAACACTCCAGACTCACTGGTCACCACCTTCAGGAATAAAGATGTTACCTAACATAAATGTTTCCATATAAAGTGGTAAACGAATATATATTATATTTATGGGCTTTTATGCCTTTATTGAATAGGACAGTAGAGGTTAGACAGGAAAGCATTTTTGATTGGAGAGAGAAGGGAATGGGATCGGCGAAGGGGATGGGAATTTAACTTGGGTCGCCGCAAGCACAGTTGCGCTATGTGTCACCAGTGACCATGATTTCACCAAGTAAAGCATGTTCCTGGATCAACATCCTTGTTAATCCTGGAACAACATTCCTATCAACCAATCAGAACTGAGGGATAACTTTTCAGTAAATATCTGTTTTAGGCTTACAATCAGGGCTAGGTGCTTCTACACCCTTATTAATCAGCTATCATTTCACACTGTTTTTAGGAATAAATTATGGGTAGGGTTAGGTTTAGGGGTAGGGATTGGGTTAAGTCTATATTTTTGGACAGTTATGTTGATCCAGGATCAACAAAAGATGTTGATCCAGGAACATGTCTTACTTGGCAAAATCACGGCGACCATGTGAGGGCTGAAACAGATAACACAAAATCCTTTGCTTTCACAGGCGGATGAATATTTGGCAGCACATTGCAAAATTCAGTAAGTAGACAGTTGTATTTTCAGCATTTTGCTGCACAATTATTTCAGACTTGTATGTTTATGTTTTTAATAATTTAGTCAGTGAATTGTCTCGTGACCCTTTTTACAGTACTTAGTCTAATTATGTATAATTCAGATGTGCGCATTATTCTAAAGAAAAAAATTGTCGTCAACAAGTTACTGCATACTGTACTTTTTTCGGTAGCACTTTACAATAAGGTCTCATTGGTTAACATTAGTTAATTATTTAACTAACATGAACTAACAGAGAGCAATGTATATTTACAGCATTTATTAACCTAATAATGTTAGTTCATGAAAAATGTTTATGCTCATGTTAGCTCACAGTGCATTAACTAATGTTAACTTTTGACCTTTTAACCTTGTTTAGTAAATGTTTAGATTAACATGAACTAAGAAGATTAATAAATGCTGGTATTGTTCATTGCTAGTTCCTGTTAACTATGTTATCCATTTTTCATTATTCAATTAATTCCAAATTGACTTTATACATATTTTTACTGGCATCTGTACGGAGACCCAGCAGTGCACAACAAAATCTCTGCAACACAATGAAATCACCACAACACACCTCATAGGACTAATTTCATTATGTTGAGCTAATTTCTTTGTGTTGTGGCTTGTTTTCATTGTGTTGTGACTTGTTTCCGTTGTGCTGCGACTTTTTTCCATTGTGTTGTGGCCTATTTCCATTACGTTGTGACTTGCTTCCGTTATGTTGCGGCTTGTTTCCGTTTTGTTGTGCTAATTTCATTGATTTGTGGTTCATTTCCATTGTGTTGTGGCTTGTTTCTGTTGTGTCTTGCTAATTTTGTTGTGTTGTGGCTTGTTTCTATTGTGTTGTGCTAATTTCATTGTGTTGTGCACTACTGGGCCACCATACATCTGTGGTTGCATGAAGAACCTTTAACATTAACGGAACCTTTCTATTGCACAAAAGGTTCTTTATAGTGAAAAAGGTTCTACAGATCACTGCGAAAACCCCCTTTAGGACCTTTATTTTTAAGATTGTAGAAAACTTTTTAAGAAAGACATTCTGCATGTAAAATATCAATATTGACCCTCAAGTAAGAAAATTTCTTCTCATACAGGTTAATATCCGGATAGACCAATCCAAGATATCAACATGGATAAGTTCCGTATGATGGCCCAGATTCTCCAGTCTAACCAAGAGTCTTTTATGAATGGTATTTGTGGCGTCATGGCCCTGGCGAGTGCTCAGCTCTACACGTCTTTTGAATTCAACTGTCCCTGTATCCCTGAATACAACTACTCGTATGGGATCAGTATGCTAGTTATTCCACCTATATGGTTCTTCCTTTTGGGTTTTGTACTAAACAACAATGTCTCGATGCTGGCGGAGGAGTGGAAACGGCCGGTGGGACAGCGGAGGAAGGACCCTGCAGTCATGCGGTATATGTGTGTGTCCATATCCCAACGGTCGCTCATCGCACCAGCCGTTTGGATCTCAGTGACTCTAATGGATGGTAAAAGCTTCCTGTGTGCCTACAGTATGGACCTGGACATGTCTGAATTGGGCAAGAATGTAAGTGGACATGGGCTGTCTCAGGAGGAACTCTTACGAACACTGGCCAAAATACCATGCAAGCATATATATGATGGCCAGCACATCCTATCGAGAGAGGCCGCCACCAGATACATACGCTGTATTTCACAAGTAAGATGATCTGCTTACTGAAGTATTTGCCACTGCTTGATATTAAAGGGATAGTTTACAAAATATAATAAATGTTGTCATTAATTACTCACCCTCATGTCGTTCCAAACCAATAAGACCTTCATTCATCTTCGGAACACAAATTAAGATATTTTTGATGAAATCTGAGAGCGTTCTGACCCTCCATAGATGGCAAGGGAACTACCACGGTCAAGGCCCAGAACGGTAGTAAGGACATCATTAAAATACTCCATGTAACATCAGTGTTTGAACTATAATAATTTTGTGAAGGTACAAGAATACTTTTTGTGTGCAAAGAAAACAAAAATAATGACTTTATTCAATAGTTCTTCTCTTTCACGCATGCATCGTGGTACTCTCTTGAATGGCGGTGGACAATGGCACGGAAGAGAAGAAATCATTTAATAAAGTCATTATTTTTGTGTTCTTTATGCACAAAAAGTGTTCATTCAGAAAGCTCTCTGATTTCATCAAAAATATCTTAATTTGTGTTTCGAAGTTGAACGAAGGTCTTACAAAAGTCGTCTCAAACTCAATTCCTGGAGGGCCAAGGCTTTTTGTGTGCAAAGAAAACAAAAATAATGACTTTATTCAATAATTCTTCTCTTTCACGCATGCATCGTGGTACTCTCTTGAATGGCGGTGGACAATGGCACGGAAGAGAAGAAATCATTTAATAAAGTCATTATTTTTGTGTTCTTTATGCACAAAAAGTATTCATTCAGAAAGCTCTCTGATTTCATCAAAAATATCTTAATTTGTGTTTCGAAGTTGAACGAAGGTCTTACAAAAGTCGTCTCAAACTCAATTCCTGGAGGGCCAAGGCTCTGCACAGTTTTGCTCCAACCCTAATCAAACACACCTGATCCAGCTAATCAAGTTCTTCAGGATTACTTGAAACTTCCAAGCAGGTGTGAGTTGGAGTTGGTTGGAACTAAACTGTGCAGAGCTGTGGCCCTCCAGGAAGTGAGTTTGAGACCACTGTCTTACAGGGTTTGGAACGACATGAGGTTGAGTAATTAATGACAGAATTTTCATTTTTTGGGGTGAACTATCCCTTTAATTCAAAACAGTAGTAGGATTACATAAAAAAAATACATTGTACATGTTTCTATGCTGCCTAAACTCAAAAAGTACTCAGACTCAGAGCACAACAGTTGGGTTCTAGAAGTAAAAATAATTAATTTGTCTACAGAAATGTGGAAAAAGTGTTTAAAAAGTGTAATTCTAAAAGTGTAAAATATTTTTACACAAGTGTAAAAACTGTACATTTAATAAAAAAATAAAACATTTTTGTTACTTGAAATAAAATAAACGGTAACTAAAAAAATATTAAAAACTTCAACCTATTTAAGCTAGCTGCCAAGGCAACATTTCTCATTTTCATACAGTTTAACTTGATGTACTAAAATAAATTAAACTGAAATAAATGTAAAAATTTTATGAACATAAAACAAAACTAACACACACATATATTTGTTGACAAAAGGAATTAAGAAATCCTTAAAGAACCATGGCTGCTGCAAATGTTGGCGAAAATGTAGCGCTCTGCACAAGCCTAAAACTATTGGCATAGACGAAGTAAAAAATTTACTTCTTAATGGCTTGTACAATGAGGCTGAAAATAATAATGTTACTTACATAAAAAATTTTTTGTCTGTATTCTAAATGTTCCAGGCTTTTGGATGGTTGTTCTTGTTGATCATCACAATCGCTGCATTTCTGATCAGAGCCATTCGTCCCTGCTTCACTCAGGCCGCCTTTCTCAAAACCAAATACTGGTCCCACTACGTAGACACGGAGCGCAAGATGTTTACTTCAACCTATTTAAGCTAGCTGCCAAGGCAACATTTCTCATTTTCATACAGTTTAACTTGATGTACTAAAATAAATTAAACTGAAATAAATTAAAAAATTTTATGAACATAAAACAAAACTAACACACACATATATTTGTTGACAAAAGGAATTAAGAAATCCTTAAAGAACCATGGCTGCTGCAAATGTTGGCGAAAATGTAACGCTCTGCACAAGCCTAAAACTATTGGCATAGACGAAGTAAAAAATTTACTTCTTAATGGCTTGTACAATGAGGCTGAAAATAATAATGTTACTTACATAAATTTTTTTTTGTCTGTATTCTAAATGTTCCAGGCTTTTGGATGGTTGTTCTTGTTGATCATCACAATCGCTGCATTTCTGATCAGAGCCATTCGTCCCTGCTTCACTCAGGCCGCCTTTCTCAAAACCAAATACTGGTCCCACTACGTAGACACGGAGCGCAAGATGTTTGATGAGACTTGCACAGACCATGCCAAAAGTTTCGCCAAGACCTGCATCAAGCAATACTTTGAGGGTATTAGCGGTGAGATTCAAAGCTTTCATGATCATTCACGTGGAGATGATAGCGACGATGAGGACGATAAACCTGCTACAGAAGAAGACAAACTGATGGGCGTTCGGCGTCAGGACACTATGAATAAGGTGCTGTGGGACTGGCACACATGCAAACCTCCGCTGAGTCTGAGAAAGTCTGGAGATGCTAGCACTGAACAAAATGGCGATTGTAGCATGAATGCTAATAAAAATCAAGACCAAAGTATCTGTGATAAAACTGAACTTAACAAGGGCCAAAATGGCTTCAAATGCGGTTATGTGAATCCTGGCCTTGATATTGGCCAAAGCGATTTGGATAAGGGATATGAGAATGCTAGCTTTAGCATAGAACAAAATGGTTTTACGAATAGACGTAGCAATGCTAGCACAAGCTTAAATGGATTGATGAATGGTGGTGTCTCTTCTCCAAGCAATACTCAAAGGAAAGCATGGGCAGTGTATTATAGCAAGGTTTGATATATATATATATATATATATGTCACATCTGACTAGAAATCCTACTATATTGCTTTTCAAATGTATGTTGTCTTAACCATCAAAATACATTAAGGTCTTTGCAGTTATTATGTATCACATTATATAACCAAAGCAATAAACCATACTTCTAGTTTGATGTTTATGTTATTTGCTCAACTTTTTAGAGTGCAAAATATATCTGTCAGTAAAAATCGTAAATTAATGTGAGCAGATGATGAATAAAGCACAAGATTTTAAATAAAATGCTGTCTCGCTTTGTGCCACCAGAGCCCACTATACAGCACATCTCACCACATTTGACACACTGGTTATACTCTGTAGTTGATGTAATTTTTCTACTAAAATGTGTATATATATATATATATTTTACGAATAGACGTAGTAATGCTAGCACAAGCTTAAATGGATTGATGAATGGTGGTGTCTCTTCTCCAAGCAATACTCAAAGGAAAGCATGGGCAGTGTATTATAGCAAGGTTTGAGATATATATATATATATATATATATGTCACATCTGACTAGAAATCCTACTATATTGCTTTTCAAATGTATGTTGTCTTAACCATCAAAATACATTAAGGTCTTTGCAGTTATTATGTATCACACTATATAACCAAAGCAATAAACCATACTTCTAGTTTGATGTTTATGTTATTTGCTCAACTTTTTAGAGTGCAAAATATATCTGTCAGTAAAAATCGTAAATTAATGTGAGCAGATGATGAATAAAGCACAAGATTTTAAATAAAATGCTGTCTCGCTTTGTGCCACCAGAGCCCACTATACAGCACATCTCACCACATTTGACACACTGGTTATACTCTGTAGTTGATGTAATTTTTCTACTAAAATGTGTATATATATATATATATTTATGCATTTCTTTATTTCTTTATTTTTTCCAAGTTTAATTTCACATTGTATTAACACTTTTTCACAGAATTAAATAGCATTTTCATACTTTTCGCTTTCTTTGGAAATAATCATATTCGGTTTCAAATATTGTCATATTCATATTTCAAATATGATCTTTACTGACAACATTAACCAAGTGTAACCATGGTAATCAAGTGCACAAACTTTGTTAGGGACAAACTGGAGAACTTTTTTTTTTTGGAGGGGGGGGG